TCTTGTATGGTTCATATTCTTTAAATAAGACTCTAAATACATTATCTGGAAAACATGCAAGTGGCAGTGTACTTCACCATGTCACTTTGCCATACAGGAAAACATAGCTTTCCACTGGTATAAATTTTATAGGGAGAAGAATAGATATACTTTTCAATCTTTAAAGCTCTTTAAGCATTTCTTCTGGTTTAAAATGTGTTTGTGTCATGTACTCAGCGGTTCTCAACAAACTTGGTTCTCTTCTGTGGGAAAAGTAGAAGCACTCTTGTTCTATTTCTAAACAAGTCATCTGCCCTATATTTTCCTTTTTTCTCCCAGAAGATATTTAGAGGGACAAAACCTTTTACCAAAAGAATGTGTTTATTTTTAGATCATTTTCCAAACATACGCGGTGCTACAGATCAACTGCTGTTTATTGATTTGTTGTGTCAATAATTCCATTAACTGTGCTTCATATAATTCCGAATATGCACTAGTGCCCAAACATATGGTGTGGCACCAACAGCAGGGGACAAGAAGGAATGAGCATGAAGAAACTGAAGTTCGGGCAGCACCTCCCTCCTGTGCTATTAAGTTACTTAGTTCCAGCACACGGTGTTGAAGGAAACTAGGTGGTGTTTAAACAGTTCTGACAAAATCTAAGACTCACTCCTTTAAAGAATAAGTTCAGCGTAAACTTAAGGGAAGAAAATGATAAGTAAATGGAATCCACCACAAGCTGCATTCTGTTGATTATAAAGGGGTTTTTTACTATGAGGAAGGTACTTTTTCCAGATTAATTAGGAAAAATATACTGGGCTTTCACATATGGCAAGCTTCAATTTGTATCAGATCTGTCATTGCTTCTGACAGTTACTCCTTTCATCTGCTGTCCAAGAGGCTGAGCTGTTTTAATGGAGGATTGGCTCTTCTGTTTTCCCTGTATCCTAGGTAAATACTCGCTACATTCGTGTCCTCTTCTCAAGTTCAACCCTCTGCCTAAGCAGGCACCAAGTCACTGATAAATTGTTATGAAACCTTGACTGCACAGTCATTTATCAACCTGTTTTCACCAACCATAAAATTTACATACCTGATGGTCTCTCGCAGCTTTCTGTTATGTAATTAAGATTTAGATTGCCTGGTAAACTCTTCCTCTTGGTGCTAGACACTGATTTTTTTAAATTATTTTTTTCCAGTTATCAGTGGGACTTCTTAAAATGCATCTGATTCTTGGAATTTATTCCACTTTTCAACTAAAGCCCAAGTATTGTGACATTAATGGCACAGTGTAAAACATGACATTGGGCAATGTACTTGATGTTGTTAGTTTCTTCTTTTAGTAGAAATGTTATTAAAAAATACATCAACATTGAAAAGTAATGATTTCTTTAGTATATTAACTGGAAATACTTATAACAATTCTCAGGATTAAACTGGCAATCATGGATTTATATTGACTTATGAACTGAATTTAACCACATGGAATCAAATGCAAGCTTTTGATTTTTGATGGGCTTTTTTTTTGTTATTCATGTGAAAAATAAATATATTTAGTTTATAAAAATATGTGTAGTATATAATAAGCCTGATAAATCACAAACTATTGTAAATGATTCAGGCTAAGTAAAAAAAAGTTAAATTACTTCATTAAATTATATCATATGTATCCAAGACCAGTCTTTTAACTGACATATATGTACTGTTTTCAAATAGCAATTTTTTGTCTCTGTCACTGGATTAAATGTTGCAGAGTCATAGTCGAAAACTGAGAGTATGGGAAAAGGTACGTTAAGAAAAGGAACCTTCTGAAAGAAGTCTCACAGACCAACTGTACCCACTTAGGAGAATTCCTTATATGCGTTATATGGAGGGGAGAGTTCTTTCCCATTACTTGGCTAACCTAGTTTGGATTCATTCATAATGTACTGTGTTGCTGCTGCCAGTATGCTTCATCCTGCCCGAGCTGCTCTGTGGCATCCTTCTCTCCTTAACTGTCCTTAGTACTTCCCAGGTGTGAGCAGGCTGCTGAGTTACGTGTGCTTGCATGATGGACTTTTATGTGCTCACTAAATCAGCACTTCTGTGAAGTGTAGACTTATGGCACACACACCACCTGATTTTTCTTCTACCACAGATCTGGTCACACGCTGCGTGAGGTGGGTAAAGAGGTTGTAATGCACAACTCTCTTGTGCCAGTAGAAGGTGGGGGGCCTGCCATTGCCAAGAAATTCTATTCAAATTTTATTTTATTTAGGCAGTTTTATTCAAAAAGTGGTCTGAGAGGGAAAAGGAAATACCAAGGGAGACTATTTGGGACTTGTGTGTCTTCCAGTGACTCATTATTTCCAATTTGTTTATATGTACTATTTTCGTAGGCTGCTCAACTATCATTCGCATGGCCTGGTGTTTCAGACCTCAGTTGTGGACTGTAAGAAAATAGTTGGTGTGTGTTACATCAGGAGAAGAGTCAAGGCTCTGTAGCTAGGGGAGGAGGTTACAATCAACAGGTCCCTTTTTCACATGGGACAGAATGGGGCATGTTCTGTCTATCTCCTGCGAATATCTTGTGGCAGACTCAGTCTATGAGCCACTGTTGTGGAGGGTAAAGGTGAGAAGGCAGGAACTCCTTGAAGGCTAAGTATGTACTGCAATGTATAATAGAAGAATAGTATTTCGTGTAATAAGGAAACTAGAAGAAGAAAATGCCATTGATCACCATTTCTGGGCAGCCATCTCTCATATCCATGTGTAATTAACCTTTCAAAAAGATTGAGCATAATTTCCCTTTTCTCGTCTTTCTTAATGCAAGATCTTGATTTTTTTTTTTTTATTATTTATATTTTTGCTCTCTTCAAATTGGGACCTTGATTGCAGACTTCCTTGTATTCATCATGATAGTTTATCAGGTCTTGAGTTATGCACCTGCAGCCTTTTCCACCCCATTCCCAAGGGAAATCAGTTTCACTATTTATTTATCTATTTATTTATTTATTAGGAAAGCATTTAGTAAGAACCTAGCCCAAGCACGGTTTATGTAAGCGGTAGTTAGTTTGCTCTCATATGAAGCCTTGACAAGTAGTCTGGTGCTTGTACATTCCTGGCTACTGAGTTACCTTCTCTCTATCAGCACTCTTAATTTATGATCTGAATTGCTGCTGTATTGAAGGGCATCTCAAAAAAAAGAAGGGTTGAATGTAATTTCCTCAAAGGATAAGTATATGGGCAGCAGGCAGTTTGCATTGTTTCAGCATTGGGAATATGTGGTTATTCACTAATCTCCTACAAATCACGCTTTTCTTTAAAGAAACTATCCTGTTAAGAAAAAGTGAATTTACCAGTGAACCCATAAGAATCAGTGTAGTGTTTATAATGTGGATGCAATATTATGTTTGAACATTTTGTAGATCCTCTAATTATGTTGCATCTCTATTGTAAACATTTTTAATACCCCCCCATCAAGAATATTTCACATTTTTTATTGGGCAAAATTATAAATAACTATGACTTTCTAGTGAAGAGCTTTGTAATTTTAGGCAGTGTGTTTTTCCATTGAAAATAATATTCTTGTTTGTGCTTTGCCCATTTAAGGAAGACAGTAAAGTTAAATTCTGCCATAATAAACTTCTATGATAATCATATTTGTCAATGCCTGCACTTCACCTTCTCCCTATTTCCCTTCCTTTCCCATCCCTTCCCATTCACCTCTCAGAAACATGTTTGTTTCATTAAAAGCATCTGCTTTGTTCCTTAGGATACATATGATATTACTTGCAATCAAGGACTAGGAACACAAGCACAGAGTGCTGTTAAAACCAGCAGTGAAGAAAGGTTGTGAGGGCCAAATAGGAATCCAAGACCAGCTGACTTAGCCCCTTGTCTCTTCTCCTCTCCCCGCCTTCTCATGTACCCTGCCTTGAATTTTTTAGATTTGGAGGAGCTTCTTTTCCTTAGCTGCTTCTGTGCCTTTGTGTGCCTTACATTTTCTCCTTCTCACCACCTTTCTTTTGTAACAACTTGCTTGTCTGTGCTTTCCCTTAGCGGTTAGAGTCAATGATGCTCTCATTTCAACTTTATATCTCATGTGCATGTTTTTTTTTTCTGTGTTGCCATTTTTCCCCTGAAGAACATGATTAAAGGAAGTAAAAGTTAAGTTTACCGTCGTTTGTAACTCAGCAGTTACTAGAAGTGACATCATAGAAAAAAGGACACTTCTCTCTGTCTTGCTCTCGTTTCTATGCTTGGTTTCAAAGAGCTGCTCTAAACAATGGTGGCGTTGGAGCTCCTTCACAGCAAAGGTTGAAGGTTTCTTGAATAACATGGTATGCAGACGCTGCTACTACTGCTTCTGTGAAGTTACAATGAAGAGTTATGACTCTTGTCTGGTTTTTTTATATTTTTGGGCAAATGCAGCAGAAATAGAGAAAGCTTAGTTTATACAGACACTGTGCTTCTTTGGAGGACTTGCAGGAGAATTTACTGCTCTCACACTATTGAGTCATCTCTGGGGAAAATGAAAGCATAACTTTGAGCACACTGAACACCTCATCCCGACTTCATCATAGCCCTGTGTATGTATGTGTTGTTTATGTATGCATTTGAAATTCAGAACTTTACATTCCTGTTCCTAACAAGAATAAAGGAATGCAGCAAATAGATATAACTTCACCGGTCAAATCTAAATAAATAAGTTTTCTGTCGTTCCTCTAATTTTCTTCTGAGCAAATCTTGTTTGAAATAATGGAGATCATATTTTTCTGAAATACTGGTACTGAATGTTAATAATAAATTGTTTTGTTTGCAATTTTTTGTAAATTGTGTGTTTTCCAATTCTTCTATAAATGATCTTTGGAGGAAGCTTAGCTAAGCACCAGTTATGCTTTGATGCCATAGTATTCAATCACTGGCACAACTTGAGCCTGTGTGTCTTCAGTTTTCAAAGTTAAATTTCTTTTCTATTTGCGAAGTCCTGCGCAGCAAACCATTTCAAGTTTTAACTCGTGTTTCATATTTTGTTCTAGGTTGTTGGAAGAGGAGCCTTTGGTGTGGTCTGCAAGGCAAAATGGCGAGCTAAAGATGTAGCCATTAAACAAATAGAAAGTGAATCTGAAAGAAAAGCCTTCATTGTAGAGGTACAGTAAGTTTGATGGAAATACTGGGTTTGGTAGAGCTTTATTTCATAAATTCATGGGTGCATTTAGTGTACTAAAAGCTATTTAAAGTACTAAAGTCTATTAAAAGATAAATGCAGCCTGTGGTATGCAGTTCAGGCCTGGACCCCTTGTCTTGCAGAACAGGAGACCTGTGAGAGAACATTGCAGCTTCTTTACTTTGCTTCCCATAAAAAGCTGGAAGGCAAGGAGGAGAGAGAGAAGGGCACACAATTGGGGAAATGCCAGTTCCTAGATTCTGTCCCAGTCTGGAATCAGGGTGCAGCTGAAATACCCACCAAAGTCTTGAAGCTGATTAACACTTCAAGGGCTACAGCATAAGTTCTTCAATACAATCAGGTCCATACTTGAAACTGTTTCTGAGTTTTATCAGCAGTTCTAATAATTTCCTTATTTTTTCTTACATATATTGCTACCTGTAACTCATTTAAAGGCAGTCACTGTTTTCATTCATGTCTACTTCTTCAGAAATACCTTGAGTAGTTCAGATATAATGATAAACTTCCCAAGATACATAATATTTATTAGAATCAAAAGTTTGCCGTGTAATTTAAATGGCATATATTGTGACATGTTGCTTAATATTTATTCAGTTATCGTTTAGTATATTCAAGATATGCAAAATACTTTAAAAATAAATCTCTTAAATTTGGAACTAGATGTACTAAAATGTAACACACTGAAGGGTTGAAAGAAGCATGTTTGTTATAGGCCTCTGTGTAAATATTTATATTTTGTTCGTTACCATGGTAAATTTTTAAGGTTATTAATCTGAGTCTGATTTAATACTCAGTAAACCTGATTGGTCTCTTAGCATTTTTTGTGTTCTAAAGAGATCTGAATAGATAATCCTAAAAATGCTTAAATAATTATTGGTATTCTGGAAACCCTACATAGTGCAAACATCAGTTGTAATATTCTGTTCTGATTTTTTAGGTCTTCTAAAGTGTACAGAAAAAGTAGCATTTGTTCCATAGGCAATGAACAGCATAAACTACTTCAGAAGTCTGTGTAAATGGAAAAAAATTTCTTGTTTCCTTCTCTTCTGTTACATACTGGGAAAAAAAATACTTAGTGCAAAATAGTGTAATTGCCAGTACAAGCAGGACTAGGTTCTTGGAACTGTGTCACTTTAATATTAAACTGTTTGGCTTAATTTCTAGGGTTGTGGGCTTGGGGTTTTTTTGAACAGTAATATTCTATATTGTGAATAAAACCAAAATGATTCTGATTTTTTTATGTAGTCAGTCAACTGGGATTCCAAATTTGCAGGCTCCAGGAAGAGCATCGAACCTACAGAGGTCTTAGTTGCAGAATGCTTGTGGCTTGAGTGATTTTACTACAACCTATCAAAATATTTTCTTTAAATTTAACTTCTTAAAAATTTCTTTTAAAATACAGTTCAGTTAGACTCAAACTTAATTACATAAATTAAAATGCAAAGAGGGACATCAGTCTTGTAATTTCTAAAATGGCTATCTAGAGTTATGCAGACATATAAAACTGTACTTGCTGTTGTGGTGTATTAATTGTAGCTGTGAAAATAAAGCGTTAGCCTTTTTTCCCTATGGTTTGAAATTGTGTGATTTGTATTGCAGCTTCGACAGCTGTCACGAGTGAACCATCCCAACATTGTCAAGTTATATGGAGCCTGTCTAAACCCAGTAAGTTATAGCTTTGTCAGTATAACAGCAAGTGACTAGCTTAGCATATGCAAGCATCAATGCACAAAACATGTATTTTATACTACAAATGTATATTTTATATATATTTTTTATGTTTTGGTCATAATAAGGAAATGTACAGATATGTAGGTTGCTTGATGTTTTCAGGTTTTAGGTTTTTTTCTTTCCACTGCTATGAAAAATAAGTTCTTTCAAGGAAACCCCAAAGCCATTTCTAAGCACAGATTATACTTCAGTTTGTCAGAATGGCATCTGGTGTATTACATATGTAGTTACATTCATATTTACAGTCTTACTAATTGCAAATTAGCAATACAAAAAGCAAATACATTAGCAACACGCAATTGTACCTTGTAAATCAGTTCCTATTCTCATATATGCAATTTTCAGGATTTGCCACAGCTGCAAACAGTCCCACAAATTCTCAAAGCAGGAAAGCAAGTACAATGACTGGACTGATATATCCTTAGCTAATTCTTTCATGGGCTATCTAATTGTTTAAAATAATGCTGCATCCCTTTTTTTTTTAAGTACTAGTAAAATTATTTTGATGTGGTATTTGATTTTTTTTTTTGTAAATTGCTTAAGGAAAAAAGTAAGAACAAGTGAATTGCAGTTTGGAGACAGGATTTGCTTTTTAAGACTGAGGCAGGGGGAGGTCATTCTCTTCTTTTGTAACTTACAGTGGGAACTAAGTATAAAACTCCTTTCTGTTTCTTACACGTAAACATGTACACTTCAAACTGACCTTTTACTTCATAGATATATTTTCCATTAGTTTAGGCACAGAGGCTTTGCAGTTGCTCTCAAAGACCGTTCCTTTCAGTTTACAGAAGCTGTTTTCTGCCCCTACATTTAACACATCCCTGTTTTTTGTTCCCTCCCCTGCAAAGGTGTGTCTTGTTATGGAGTATGCTGAAGGAGGTTCTCTATACAATGGTGAGTATCACTTCAACATAGTGTCTTGCTGGACCTAAAGCACTAGTATTAGGGCAAACGTAATCTAAACTATAAAGCTGTTTCATATGTATGTCTCCATCCTTGGAGATACTCAGAAGCCACCTCACCAAAGTCCTGGGCAACCAGCTGGAGGTGACCTGCTTGACCTTGCTTGATAGACCTCTGGAGGTCCCTTCCAACCATTCTCTGGTTCTTTGAAATTTTTCAAATAATTTTAAGGAGAAAGGAGTGTGCTTTTTAAAACCACTTTTCAGTCCACTGGTTTGTTCTTGGTATCAGTTTCTTATATTTTATACAAGCAATTTAAGGTTTTCCAGTGGAACATCTGAAAAGATTTGTAAATTCCCTGACCATTTATTTAACACAGACTTTACCAAGGATAGCTGAGAACAAGCAACACCTTTCATATTGAATTTTGACATTAAAAATTATGGAAAGCATACTAAAAAGCAGAAAATATTTTGTCATTTATTTTAAAAAAGTCTCCAGAAGGATATTTTCAGTTGCAGTCATGAGGTGTTGATAATTACTTAGATTCCATAGAGCTTTCTAACTGGTATTTTGTTAACTCCGTCGTATGTGTTGTAATATGCAATAAAGTTCTTTTTAGTTTGTGCCTTTGTTTTGCAGTGCTACATGGTGCTGAACCTCTGCCTCATTATACTGCTGCACATGCCATGAGTTGGTGTTTACAGTGTTCCCAAGGAGTGGCATATCTCCACAGCATGAAACCAAAGGCTCTAATTCACAGAGACCTGAAACCACCAAAGTAGGTTCATATTTTATATTTTCTTACAATTGGAATTTAAAATAATTTTTAAATATTTATTGCATTTGAAAAGAACCTTTAATTGATACTTTTGGGTGTACCGTATTCCAAATGAAAGCTGTGCATTTGAAATTTCAGTTACAGAATGACGGTGTATGATACAGAAAATGAACTGTATTCAGTTACATTCTGTCACACTGGAAAAATGTCCTGCTCCTGCCCTGCATCATGGAAGAGGATTTTGTTAGAAATAAGGCTTCTAATCAGGGGAATTTAAAATCCTCCAGTTTTGAAATGGTTTTGTTGTTCAATAAGAGAACATTGTGGTGGGGTTGTTTGGTTGATTGGTTCTGTCATATTTATTATATTAGAGCTCTTTCGCCACATGGCCATCCTTTTTTATCCCCTCCTTCTGCCAGTTCTACTACCCCTGCCAGAAGCTCCCATCACTTTCCACTGAAACAAAATTTAGTAGTTTCCTATCCACTGCTTGTTATCTGACTCACTTTACAGCTTCAGATCTGGCTGTACAGATTAAGTAGAAACAGATATTTGAGTATGAGCAGAATCATCCCTTTTTTATAGTAACCTGCAGTTATTACCAGCTAAAATCCTAATATGAAGCCACACTTTAAATCTTTAGTTCTTTCTTGTATCCCCAGTTTTGATCTAGAGAGCTGCTAACATGTAACTTCAGTGCTTTCGTTTAAATAAATATCTACGTGGACAGATATTAGCGGGCGTCTTGACCATTCTTCTTTTGCTAAAATTGTTACAGCACTAGTTTTTCAGCCTCTGGAATCTGAAGGACTAATTTTGTCAATATATGCTTAGTGATTTACTATGGCTAAAGATACTTAATTAAAATCTAGCGTATAGGAATAAATTACAATATATATTGGAGTATTTTAAAATATTTAATATGTTCGCATTAGAAACAAGTGACCTTACTGATTTCCCAGATTATAAAACTAAAGCACTGAGAATCAAAGCCTAAGACATTCAACTATATTACAACGATAGTTGTTGGGATAAAAAAAAAAAATCAGTGGTTTATTGCCAGACTATTTCATCACACAATTTTAATATCTTTTTTTTTTCTTTGACAGTTTGCTCCTGGTAGCTGGGGGGACAGTTCTAAAAATCTGTGACTTTGGTACAGCCTGTGATATTCAAACACACATGACCAACAATAAAGGAAGTGCTGCTTGGATGGCACCTGAAGTTTTTGAAGGTAATAAAAATTCACAGTGTCAGTATTTTGTGTTCTTTTTAGGGATACAACTGTGAATTAATGTGGTGTAGGAAATACAGGATCATATAATCTTTATTTCAATGTGTATAAAAGTTTGAGGTAACAACTGAAAGAGTCTTGGCAGAACTCTTAACATTTATTTAAAAATCTGTACAATTATATATTGTCAAATAATTATGCAGAGGTTTAAAGAACAGCACTGAACCGACTCTCTCACATTAGTATTAGATATTTATTTGTGTCATGGCTAAGATTTACGTAAGGAGTAACTCTAGACAGCTGCTGTTTCTTATTTTGTAAGTACATCAAATACAGCCAGAGGGCTCTTGCCCCACAATTTTAATGTTTCCAAGATTCTTAAATTATTTCAAACTTTTCTGACATTTAAATACACTGTCATTACTTTCATTCGCTATTCCGATCGGCTTTTAACTTTAGAGTTTCCCTGTTAGTGTGTCTAAATTAAACATAATTGCCTTCATTTTCAATCCCCCACTTTCTTGTAACTCCATCTTTGTCTGCTTTTTGTGTAATCTAGAGATTTGATGTACTTCCTCTTTCCTACGTACCGAGGAACTTGTTATTACCAGTTAATTTAGTTAAGTAGGAAAATTAGCTATTTCTTGGAGTGTAACTGGGAAAGACTGATGACACTTGATAATTAGATAGGTATAATTGCTGCATGATTATCACAGAAATAATCCAGTCTATATTAAATTGCAAATTAAACACCGTTTAGCCAGTCAGTACCTTAAATTATCAAAGTGATTTAGCAGTGGTCTGGAAAAAGTCATCTTCCTGCTTTAGGAAGTGCCTGTGTGGAACAGTGGTTTCCCCGATTCTGGATCCAAGTGACCTCTTTTTCTTTTAATGTCCTTATTCCAGAGACTGTTCCCATACAGTTTTAGGAGATGTTTCCTCACAAACATCACCTTTGGAGCTTTTGTTCTGAAGGTACCATTTTCTTCCACATATTGCTTAAAGTACCAACCAAAGGGTTATGTGTTTCACTCTGGTGCCTGAAAATTTTCCAGATACCTACTTTATTTCTTTAACTCTAACTAGGAGTGCTTCTTTTCTTAATGTTTGTTTATTATTAAATTAAATTGTACAAATAGGAGATTTTTTCTTTTAGAAATAATCAAGTTGGACAATTAGTGTTACAGATAGATTTTCTTTTTTTGAGTGAAAAATGTTAATCTAAAATGAATACAAATAAGTATATTATGGTAGGGATTTGCAGTGCATATCCTAGTTCCTCTGGTGTATGAATTCAGCAAGGCAGAACAAAGAAATCTTGTATTGCAGTTGTATTTTTGGACAGCAGCAAAAGCCTTCAGTCTACAGTTGTTTTTATGTACTTTTAACTGAAAGTGTTTATTGATAAAGAGACAAATTATTATAAATGGACAAGTATCAAGGAAAGGAAGAAATCTAGTAGCTTCTATGATGCAGCATATCAAATTACTCCAGAAACAGTTATTAAGCTACTAAAATAACCACGTCAAATGTCAGAATTGTTAAAAACTTGTTTGCCTAACCTACCGAATCAGAATTCAACAATGTAAAAGATGCTAATATTATTCTGTTGCTGATCTAGTACTAATGTTTTTAGATTAGAACAATAAAGACATGAGAAGTATCTGTTGTAGAAGACAACTGCCTATTGAAGCAGTTGCCCTAATATTAAGATTTTCTTCCCATTTTAAACATTAGGGCACCTAAAACCTTCTACAGATCAAATAATCTAAATGAAAATAACATGATTTAGATTGGGATAAAGTTAGAGAGAGCAATTCTAAAATCAGAACTCTCATTAGAAGAAACCATTTTAAAATTGCTGTGGAATGATTGAGGAATGATTGTGTCTATCCAGTCTTGGTCTATCACATAATAAAATAATAGAGAATATTCTCTCACTTTCTTTAGACTCTGTTTTCAGAATTAGTCCAAGACTTCTCGGCCACAAAACTGAATTTCCTTGTGCCAACAGGAGAATAGGGCTCCTCTCCTTTCATAGGCTTAGTGTCACAGAAGTGCTCTGACTGCATAGATGAGACTGTTTTGCTTCCCTTAGTGATCTGCCATTGTTTACATAGGTTGGAGATCTTTTCCAACCTTAATGATTCTATGATCAACTCAAACTGTACTTCTTTTTAATGTGTTACATAGAAAAGACACAAATTATATTGATGACTTTCTTCCAGGTAGCAATTACAGTGAAAAATGTGACGTTTTCAGTTGGGGTATTATTCTCTGGGAGGTAATCACCCGTAGGAAACCTTTTGATGAGATTGGTGGTCCAGCTTTCCGAATAATGTGGGCAGTTCACAATGGTGAGTTGAAAATACTTTATTGCATTTGAAGTTGTGTATTTGACCTATAAATTTGCTAAACACTCTTAACCATGCAGCTTTAAATTACCAGTGTTTCCATTTTATGCTTCATTAAATATACACTTTTGTCACAAAGACTACATAGTTAAACACTGCCACTTCTGTGTCAGTGTGGGTTTTGTGTTATTTGGCTGCTATGTGTAACTGGTGTATGAATAAAGAAGGGTAAAGAGCCATGTCTTCTTTGTTATGACACTCCATTTTAAAAGTGATCTGAGAGGTGCTATAGAAAAACCCACAACCCCTCTATCTGGATGAATGGTGATTTTTATTAGCTAAGTTGTCTCTTTCATTTTTTTTACTCTTTGTAGTTAAATGTCTACAATAAATGTGTAACTTGAAGTAACTTGACTTGTGTTTAGAAACGCTAGAAACTGTCAAACTCCTGCGGGACCATTAGGCATTAAAAATGTCAGTTTATTTTTCATCTGTGGTGTTCTGGGTTTTGTTTTTTTTGTTCTGCTGTTGGAATGGTTTTTCCTTTTTACCTAGGCACCTGCACTCATGGGGCAGCACTCTGCTATGCTAGGTATTATATAGAACAGATTTTTGTGAGCTTAGACTATAAACAGGGCACAATGATTGTATTCAAATGGACTTTTTCTTTAAAGCAGTGGTATAATGTTGGTCAGGATAGTAGATTTTAGTATCTTCATGCTAGTGGTGTAACTTTTTTACTGCTGTGTTTTTAAGTACCATGGCAAAACAGAGTTTTACAAACAATTAAGTAATGATAGTGAAGTAGTTCAGTGACTGCAAAGAATTTCTGCCATTTGTGAGAGACAACATCAAAGCAAGCACAAACTTGTTTGGAAGAAAAAAATAACAAACAAGCGACGAAGGCTCGTTTTTCAAATAGACAGGTCATTTAAAGTTAGGAGTAAAGAGTGCCTTGCATAAAAGCATTAACTGTGAAACTAAGTGTAAATCTAATAGTCATAAATCAGGAAACCTCAATAAGGTGCAGGCATATCCTTTAGGGACAGAAAAATTCCTATCTGTAGCTACTTTTGCTTTAAAAACTTATCCTTTTTATCTTCTTCCATTTTCTTTTTCCTTCTTAAGAGGAAATATTAGTACACTTCATCTCATTTAAAACTATTGTGGCACTCATGTATTACTTGGTCTGTTTAACATATTTTTAAATACTTGCTGATTGCTTTGCAAACCATCACTGTTCCTCATATATCAGACACAAGCGGTTGTCCATTAATTGTATTCCTTGTTGAAATCATAAAAAGAGGAGAACCTTGAACCAAAAAACAGCTGAATAGTTATACAACAGTTGAAGTAAAATATGTTATTACAAATGTGTGTAGGCATGAGAAAGTCACACAGAATTGGTACTTCCAGTGCCTGTAATTTTTAAGGAAGTTTTTAAGGACAAAATCAGCTCTCAAAAATACTTCAGGTGTTTTGGTTTTTTCATTATTTTTTTCTTGTGAATACAGCATTAGGAACCAAAGACTGTTACTACTTGCTTCCTAGTTTGTTCTAGAGCTTTATTCTTCAGAGACAAGTAACATTAGCCATTGTAATGTGCTGTATTTATTCAGGCCTCTACTGAAGGAGAAGTTTAATTTTTTTTCTACTTTTTTGTATGTAATTGTAGCCTCTATGTAGTGCAAAGTAACTTTTTTTTGATCAATTTTTGTTTGTAAGAGAGAAAATTAAGTACAAGCCAGTTCTTTCAGCCTACGATTAACTCTACCTTTCCCTGTATTTATGTAGCAAAATACTGGAGAGAGATCAATCACTGTCAGTTGTTTATTATAGTCTGCTTAAAAAATTAAGGATTTTTTCTAATTTCAATTACAGGTACTCGGCCACCACTGATCAAAAACTTACCTAAACCAATTGAGAGTTTAATGACCCGTTGTTGGTCCAAGGATCCTTCTCAACGACCGTCCATGGAGGAAATTGTTAAAATAATGACACACTTGATGCGGGTATAAAAATTTATTTTAGTATCTTAATCAGTTCTTAATCTGTTAAGCTAGGAAATTGAATTACAAAAAGTATGCCTTTCATCACACTCTAAAGATGGGCTTACATGTTTTCTTTCTCCTCTTTCTTTTTGATAAAAATTATCGATTACAGTAGAGAAGGGAAGTAATTCATCTCCTTATGGGGGGGTATACCAACTCATAACAGATCTGAGAAAATTAAAAAAATACTCAAAGTGTATTTTAATGTATGACTAAAAGTATTTGCATTTACGTGTCTTCAAAATAAATTATTATAAATATATAAATTGTATTTCTAAATTATGAGATACTATTAAAATAATTTTAAAACAATGGTTAATTAGGTTTTTTTATCAACTCTTTTTTCACAGTACTTTCCAGGAGCTGATGAACCTCTGCAGTATCCTTGCCAGTATTCAGATGAAGGCCAAAGCAACTCTGCCACTAGTACAGGTACATTTGTGTAAGTTAGAGAAAAAGAATAGCAACATAAGCATTGACAGGGATCTATTTTTTTTGTTAATACTTCTTACCACATCATATTCAGTGTTCTCAGTCAGATGGTTTTGATGAAGTTTACGTGTAATGGAGAATAAGTTTATGGTAAAAGCTGTCTTGAAATGTCCAGGTTTAAGGTCTCCTTTTTTTTTTCCAATGAATGTTGCTAACAATTAACACCTTTTCACTAATATGTAATATGTAGGAGTTGTCAATTTAAAATTTTTCACTACTTTTGAAAGCTGCACCTCTTTCAGTTATAATATCCAGAATTTAAACTTGCATTTGTTTTATGTTAAGAGGCATTAAATACAGTAATTTAAATTACATGCAAGAAAATAACCAGAAAGGTGGATGGAACAAAATGTGGGCTAGACTTTCAGGTAGTCTTGCTCTCCGATAGATCCTTTTAATAATAGAAAATGAAGATCATTTGGTCTCCTCATTTTTTACAGTACAGGTTTTCCACTTAAGTAATTTTTAATCTTAGGTGTCTTCAACTTCCTCTACTTGGTTGGTTTATTTTCTATCTCTGAAGAAATTGCTGGTATTTTGGATAAAGTTTCATTGGCTACTTTACAATTTAGTGACCTGTATATTAACAAAATCTTTGCAGCTCTAGCATTGCACTGACTTTACTAGTTGTTCTCCACCTCTCAGCACATGATTTTAAGACATAATTTATCATTTTAAATTGTGAATATATATTGACTGTTATTTATCAGGTATTTATGCTCTTCTGTGGTTAATGATGGTCTTTGTCATTAATTGTGAATGAGATTGCTGGTCATGTTTTTAATATGACATTACCCTAACAATTTCAAAGAAAGCTAAAGATTGACTTCTGAATGTTACCGTAGTAGGTAGTTGTGTATTCTTTTTCACTCCTCTTACTTCTTACAGTAATGGATCTGTTGCAGTCTTGCAACTTGCCTTTCATTAAAAGTTTTGAAAAGTGTTGTTTTAAAGCCAAATTAGACTTCTGAGAATGCTGTAGTGAAGAGATGCACTTCAGTATTTTCAGTGGACACTCCCAAATGTTTTTCTTTGTTACTGGTTTCTAGGTTCATTCATGGACATCACTTCTACAAACACGAGTAACAAGAGTGATGCTAACATAGAACCAAGTGACTTCCAAGGAGCTTCTACCAATGACACTATTAAACGTTTAGAGTCAAAATTGGCACAACAAATCAAAAACACAACCAAGCAGCCGGTAAGCTAAAGTGTGCAATTTTGAACCATAATAATGAAGTGGACATAGGCAGACAAAAGTGTTGTATCTGAAACATTTGTGTCCTTCTTCAAAAATCATACAAAATTGGACCCAGCTATTTATAGAAGAACATGAAAAGGGATGGAATTATATTGAATAATTCCAAAAATGTAAACTGGAAGGCTCTATTAAGATCTCCAATGAAATGTAAAAATAGTTCATTCTATTCAAAGGTATTTATTAGATTAAAAAAAAATATATGTTTGAAAATTGCTGCCTTAATTTAAGTCTAAAATAGTAGTATGATATAAAAGGATTAAACATTTATCTGAATTTTGAAAATGCTGTGTTTTATTTCAAGTAAAATGCAAAAATACAAAGATTCTATTCTGATAACATTGACCTAATTCTACTGATTTTATTTTATCTGTGTATAGTTAGATTATTTTCAAAGTTGCAGATATTTCAGTTTTATATGCCAGTAATAGCTCAATTATTACCATTTATTGTTATAAATTTTAAATCTTGCCACTTTTAAAATGCACATTATAAAAATGTATTTTAACCTACATACTGGTGCATATCAGGGAGGGCTCGTGCAGAATTTTCTTTTTAAAAATGTGACTGTTGAAACAGGGTGATCCTGGCCGTTTGAGTTTGCCCCCATCTCGTGGGAGCAGCGTGGAGAGCTTGTCAGATGTTCGCGCACGACCGCCGTCAGCCCTCGTTTCAGGAGAAGCCAAAAGGATGAGTGCTGATATGTCTGAAATAGAAGCAAGAATAGCTTCCATCACAGGTAAAATTAAAGGATGTTTGGGGCGTAGATTAAGGAATTGGAAGGAAAATGTGAAATGTGCATAGTCTTACAAAAGGTTAATACCAGTAGCTGTATGAAAATACTTTAACTTTACATGTAGTCTTTATTGTCTTTTATTAATTGTGGGAGGGAAATGGCTTTATTTATGGTTGTACAGTCAGCAATGTTGAGTATTGTAATTCAGTATTTTAAAGGTTGTAGAAGAGATTTTGTTGAATTAGATTTTTACTTTTTTTAAAGACACATTATAAGACTTTTAAGTGTCAATCCTGTTCCAAATGCACAACTTTCACTTTTGCATCTGAAATAGTGTTATTTCATCTCTGCTAGCATAATTATTTATATAATAACATTTTCTTCAAGGTTATTTCTATAATATTTTTGAAATTAAGAGGTAGGTTTAAAGTTCAGCATGTTCCCAAATAAGTTTTAAAATCCACTTTGGCAGATTTCAGAAAGAGGAGCATAGTTAGATTTTATTCATGAGATTAACAAAGCATTGGTGTCTTCTGTTTAAAAAAAAAAGCTACAGGTGTTTTGCCAGGTTTGCTTCAGCTATAAACTGTTATTTCTAAACATTAAATCCTTGAGAGAATTGGAATTTATCTGTAAGTATAAGTACATAATTTTATGGTGAAAGCAATATCTATTCTTCCCAGAAGAGTAAATTAATAAACATGTGTATACTTGGCAAACACTTTCTTGTCTCTTTTCTTCATCAAAGGTATTGTTTGTTAATTTATGTAAGCTTCAGGTTTTAAGTTCTATATGTGGAAGTTTTGTTTTGTTATGGTATATAACCACACATTTAAATAATAAAACAAAATTACTTTGGTTAGTTCAGGGTTATTTAGCCATTTAAGTATTTTTCTACCAATCTGAAAATTAGGGTAATTGAGTAGATGCAATTAATAAGGAATTACGTATCAAAATTCTGGCTTTCTCGTGCTCCATGACTATTTCATTTTGTTCTTCATTGTATTATGATTACTCCAAGACCTTGTTTTACTAAATACTGAAGTTACTCATGACATAATATTTACTTTGCCCTAAACACATTTTACTTTCATGTTCTTATTTTAAAGCTTTATTCCAAAATTTGTCTTTTGTATTGTCAGTCTTTGACTGGATGATTGTGTAGCACATCTCACCCTGAATATCTCTAAAGGTTTCTTAACACAGAAGGCAGCTGTGTACTTACCTAGTAATAACACCATGCTGGTTTTATTTTAAAATATGTCAGGACTCACTTTGGTCACTGACACTATTAATGTAAGTTTTTTACATTAGTGGAGATAATCTGACCCTCCTCTTTTTGCAAGTTTTTAGTTTTTCTATTTTGTCTTCCTTAAGTACATTAAGGAAGACAATAATAATTACTATTCAGAATATTCTAATAATTTTTTTTTTGGTTATCACTGTAGGGTTTCTTTTTCTTGAAACAAAAGTATATATATATTTTTGGTTTGGGGTTCTTTGGGTATTTTTTTAAAAAATCTCTTAAGGCTGTAGAAGACTACTAGAAATGAGGTCAAACCCATCTGACCATAACTTTTTCAGAAAGAGCTGAAACAGCACTGTGTTGGTTTTGGTTTGTTTTTTCAATCTTGTTAACTGCGTGACAGAAGTAATATGCTGTGAACCTGAAAAAAAATTGTGTGGCTGGGTGAGAATTGGGCTGTTGTTAAATCAAGTCAAGAATTAGTTAATCTTCTTGTTCCAGCTTTCATTAGATTAAGTGTAAGAGTAAATCATGTAGTACACATCACCATTACTTACTGAGATGAATATGCTACAATGTTCTATTTTTGGGAGATGCATTCAGGTTTTCTCTAAATAGGAACTATTTATCTTAAACTACAAAAGTAGCAAAATAAAAAAAAAGTATGATTAGATTTTAATTCATAGTGTATGACATTTCTTGAACATCATTCAAAAATTACAAAGTTGGTAGTGATATCCAGCTCCCAAAATAAAAAATTGTCACTAATGGGACAAAAGAGTGAGCAGCAAGAATGATTATCAAATGTAGTAAGAGTAAGCATTTTTTCAGAGACAAATGAGATTTGCTTTAAAAGGAGGTGATTTAAAGAAGTATCTAACTATTAAACTTGTTTATAAAATAGTTTGTTCTCAACACTAAAGAGAAAAGGTTATATAAGTTCAGAGAGTCAAGAATTTATTCTGAATGTACAGGTGAACTGAAATAATTTCGTTTTTTTCTCTGTTTGGATAATTACGTTTGGTTTTCCCTTCCGTGTTGCCATGCTGCTTTCTGTGTTTGACTTTTGTGTTGCTAACTGTAACTAATTACACCGTGTTGTAATGATGGCTAGTTCTGCATTTTTTGCTTTTTAACCGTTGCTTAATTACGTGTAAGCATGAGTGGAAGGCAATGCAGTTTATTCTGCATGACACATTTTTGCATGAACTCTAATTTAACCAAGTATATGAAAAGTGCAGTATTAGGAATTTAATAATTTTGCTATTGCCATTTTAGTGTTTTGCATGTGTATTGTATATGTGTATTTTTTCAGCCTATTCCAAGCCTAAACGAGGCCATCGTAAAACTGCTTCATTTGGCAACATTCTGGATGTCCCTGAGATCATCATACCAGGTATCGCAGACCAGGTGAACGGGTCAGTGGTTAAGATGCCGGAATAATGATCAGACTGCTAAAATACTTCTTGCTCCAGTTGCTGTAGGACAGAACTAGAAATTATCCCACAAAATTTTTCATAATGCTTCTGTAAAGAGAAGCATAATATTTTATTACAAGCTTACTTTTATCAGTAAAGGATTCACTCTTCTAGTTCAAACGTAGTTCTATTGATAAAGCATTTTTTCCTTTATTATCTTGATGTTTAGAATCTTCTTATAGAGCAAATCTATATATACAGTCTTTTATTACAGCGCCTCATTTGGTGAAAATGAACTTAAGTTGAAAAATTCCTGTCTAGGTAATTATTTTGCCCTGATCTTTGTTGTGTTTGGGCTCCTATTTTTTAATCAAATATTAGTAGAACAAAAAACTTAAATACATTAGGTACAGAATTTCAAATCCGTGTGATATCTGTGATTAAAACATTAACACTTAATCTGTGTAATCCTTATATTTGACTACACTGTTCTAGAGCTAAAATGTGTCTGCGTGAGGTATTTCTGTTGTGTTTAAGTAAATGCAAACTAAAATTATTAGGAGATGCTTCTGACAGGAAGAAAATCAGTATAATCAGGCACCATAGATGATAATTTCACTTGGGACTTTAATGAATAATTCTCATGTATCCCAGGTCTATTTTTAGTTAGTAGCATAACGTTTTCCTTTCCCTTTCCATTTTTTTTTGCAACCAAAGTGGATTTCTTTCTTTCATTTCATACTTCTCAAAGCCTAAAAATAAGTATAATCAATCCCAAACTGTGATATGTATACCATTAGCAGTATGCAAGTCACTGCAGAATTATTTGTCGCAGACAGGAGATGCAAATGATAGTATCTACTGCTAATTTAGAAATACGCTAGAAACTGTGGACCTCTCAGTCTAAATTGGTGTCATCTGAGGAAGTTACCTTGTAAATCTTGATATTGTTTGGTATTTTAAAGTTGAATGCAGAAGGTAATTTTGTGAAAAGTTTCTTTCAAATAACTTTATTGAAGGTTACGTATAAAAATACAGAAAAGATTGAGCAATACAACCCATGAAAAGAAAACATCTTTGGCATTGAGTCCAACAAATTGGCAAAAGAGTTTGCTAGGGTAGCTTTCCACTGTAACTTTCAAAGGGTCCTGGCCTGCAATGGCATAAATGAAATCCTGAGAGAGCAAGGAAAGCAAAAGTGGAGAGATGTGTCAATTTTCACAGTGTTACCACATGCTGAGAGCCTGTTAAATAAGCTCTAAACGCTAATGAGTTCCTCTTCTGCGCACACACTCTGCACATAACAACACCGAGGCTTCCAAGAAACCTTGAAACTTTTAAGGAATGATGAAGTCAAGTTAAATGAAATGCCATGTTGTTTTCACAAAATAGATTATACCAGTCTATTGGTTTCTTCGTTAGGCAGAGGAGTCATTAGAAATTTTTCACCTGGTGTATATTAATTGAACTGGACAGGATGGGAATTCCAAGATGAATTATTTGGAATACATATGAAAGAAATAGCAACTTGTAGAAATGAAAGAAGTTAAAGGGTTGGAGCAAGCATATCAATCAATTTTCTCAAAATTTAAGTCAAATTTTAAGGTATTTAAGTCAAATAAACAATAATGAAATTCACTGATAATGTTTTATCAGAAGCAACTATTCATAAAGAGGAGGATTAGAGTATTACATAAAGTGAATTTTGCTGTGACTGAAAAGGAATAGGGTAAAATCCAGGGTTATGCACTGTGGCTCACACACTAGCAACTGTTTCCTTTTAAAAAGATGACATGGGACCATAGCAGATGTGTGCAGATGAATCCCAGGTAGTATAAGCCACTGATCTAATGCAGTTCTGAAAAACTGAAATCTTAACGTTCATTTCCAGGAAGAATGAAGAAGCACTGATGCTATTTATAGGCCCTTGTTGAATTTTAATCAGGAATTCAATATACTGTTGTGGTCAGTCATATAAAAGAAACATACATGCACTCTGAAATAATATCAAGAAGAGCTAATAGGATGTTATGGAGAGTATAAAGAAGAATCTGAAAGCATGGCTTCTTTTAGCCCACAAAATGAAAGCTAAGAAATTAATAATTATTTTCTATAGATGAATCTCCAGCTAAAAACTAGGAAGAGAGAACTACTTAAGCTAAAAGACAATATTGGCACTACAGAAGAAATATTTAAATTGTCTGCAAATACATCTGGGCTGTATATTGAAAGTTTCCTGGTTGTCAGAACAGCTTTCCTGTAATAATCCCAAAGCCAGAAAAAAATGAGATTAATCATTACATGACAGGGACATGATTATCTGCCTGCCTAGTAAACTAGTTATATTCATCTGTATACTTAAAGCAGTTATGCAAAAATACCTTGCTCGGTTATTCTTTTAAAAACAATGTATTTCTCACTGCTTTCCTTTTCTTACTCTCTCAGTTCCCCCAAACTGTCACCTCCATATCGATCCCACCCCGTTACGTTCCATAGCACTTCTGCCCCAGACCCAGCTCCTCCGAACTTCCCTGGGCATGTCCCTCGGTGGGGCGAGCAGCTCATCCAGGTCCTTGGAGCAGCACAAGTGCCGGTCTGTGCTGCTGCCTGGAGTTGTGCTGAGCACATGGTAAAGCAGCTGCTGCCCAGGGAGGGGAGGCACGACGCAGGCATGTTACCGTTGAGTCAGCTGCTTTAGGGCAGGGCTATTTTAGAAGTATGAGTACTACATCTGCTATCATTGGGGGTTTTCGTAATGTGTTGCCTCAACTGCATTTCGTCCATGAACTGATTATGCTACCAAGGTCGTAAAATACACGTTTTTATCAATTAAAGGTAAAATATTGGCAGAAGGGGAAGTTTTTAATATATATTTGCTCTTCTTTCTAAATTAGTACAATAAGGGTGACTAGAACTTTTTGTTCATTTAAGATGCTATTTTGTATTGCTAGCTTACAAACTTAGAAACTGCAAAATGGATCAAATAATTCCTTCTTTGTCTAACAGCATAGCAGGAGTTTGCAGTGGTGGTTTCCTACAATCAGGTAGACAAATGATGTATCAATTCTTTTTTTTTAATTTACCGTGTATATATAGTATAGGTTATAAGCACCAACATTTTATTTTATATATATATATATGAAAAATGAAAACCCTAGTAAGTGCAAAAGGTTTAAGTAGCTTTATGTTTAAAGAAACGAAAAAAATCTGAATTATAGTTTGCATACCTTTTCAATACAAACCAGTCAAGCAGCAAACCTTCAAGTACAGTCTTTTCTTCACTGGCAGTGTTAGACATCTCGTGCATTTAGCATGTGTGCATTTGGCTTTATAATTTTGTCATCTGAAATTCTGCCACAGCGTTACGATTTTTATAGCATTGACACTGCATAAATGATTACTCAAGATGGACACATTTTGTTGAGGGTCTTTAGAAAGGGGATAGGATTTATGGATGCTTTAGGTCTGTAATTTTGCTATCTACTTTTAAAACCAATATATACCGAAAATCCCACCCTTGGCTTCCCAAATCACTTAATTGTTGTGGAGTTCAGATCAATTTTTTAACTTCCTCAGAATGTCTTCTAGCACTGTTACAGTCACTGATCATCCTGCACTGTGAGAGAGGTTTGAGTCTTGTACGTGTGTAAGGAAGAGAGTACTGTGAGTAAATAAGAAAGTGTAAAAGGAGATGCCAGTATCTGTTAAAGGGCAGGGAGAAGAGGTCATAGCTGGTCTGGATGTTTGGCGGTAGGGTGGGGGTGGTGATCAAATAAGTTGTAGAATTTATTTTTGCCTGCAGTATGTGGGGCAGGACATAATGGAAGTTTCCTGTTCCTTTAGAATTTAATTTTAGAAAATAAACAACAGTGTGCAAAATGGGTTTTTTTGTGGCCAGGAAGTATGTTTGTGACATTTGCTTTTTAATCTTAAAATCCTGTGAACTACCAAAAGCCTGACACTGGGCATCAAGCTACTGTAGATGAACTTCTGTGCATGTACAAATCTCTTAGTTTTTATAATGAGGAAAAATCCGTTTTAAATGGACACAGAAGTAAGAACAAGATCATAACTGTGAGAGAAAAGCATAAAGAAGTAGCAGTGATCATTTCAAATAAATATTTTATGTTGTATATTTTTCAATTGAAATTTTTCTTGAATCTGGAGCAATAAGTATTTGTTGATTTGTAGTCTGTTTCTGCCTTGTCTAAGCTATTTGCCAGATGTCTGCAGTAGTTATACTAATTAAAATGGCATTGCCTAGTAGAGCTTGCTCTTCCCTCATGCTACTAAATTGAAGATATTTCATTTAAAGGTGTTCATTTTTTACAACACAGTAGTTTGGACCCCTTTTTCTCTCTCCCCTCCCCCTCAACCCAAGGCATTTTCTTTTCTTTCTTGCACCCCACCCTGATTATTTTAACATTTTGGCAGCCACGTTCTAATATTTCAGCAACAGATGTGCTGGGTTCTTTAAATTCACAAATGTTGCTAATCTGAAATGAGAATTTCAGATATTTTTGCAAGCCTATTTCAGCTGAGCTAATTTTATAACAGTGTTGTTGAATGAAATGTGCACATAATTTTGTGTCAGTTGTGGGTGGATTGCACATATCTTGAATACTGAGATGAGCTGTGGCAGCCAGATGAAGTATCCATGGCACAAAATTCTATTAAATGTATAATCTTGTTTGTTAAATGATTACATAGTGAAAAAGTTCACTGCAAATGAACAAGTTCAGACATTTTGATATAGATTAGTCATTCACATGATCCCTAGTATCAAAGAATTAAAAATAACTTAGACGTTGTTACTTAGGTAAGTATATACTTTCCCTGAATTTCAGAAGCAAAAGATCAAGACCACAGAACAGTTGCAATTCAGATTCATTTGTAGACAGAGCAAAGAATATATTCCTGTTCTAAAATACTGCTTGATTTTCTTACATGCTTGTTTCTTATAGTACTTGCTATAAATGTTAGATGATAAAATGTCATGACAAATCAGTAGAGTGACACTGAAAATTTTTTATTGCTGTTTTGGGGTAGTGTGTTCCTACATGTAATAGTATCTATATTTAAAAATTTAATGGATTATTAAATTTATTGATCAGTATTAAATAGTCTCACATTTTTGTACTAACTGTCGCAATTCAAAACATGTGTCAGGATAGGCCGTGGAGTCATATGGAAATGATGCTGAATGAGAAGTCTCTAAAAGGTTAAAAATGCGATGCCTTTTCCAGGGCTTTAAGTGAGCTGGGTTGGTTGCTGAGTGCAGGACTGCTGGGCGAGGGGCTGCCACGGCTGCAGTACATGTTTCAGATGCTCCCCTCCAGTAGCAAAGTTACGTAATGCAGAGCTAAGAGCAAGAATTTTGAGCATTGTCAGCTGTTACTCAGGACATTTTGGTGTTTCCTTTTGGACAGCTGACCTGCTCTCAAGAGATAATATAAACAATCACTGTAATAAAAATCAAAGTAGCCAGGGAGATTCTGTTGCATAATCTCCTTTTATTTTTAAGAAGACTTTGTTTCCTGGAAATGCTTTTGATTGCGTGTCAGTGTTAAAATTTAAACTGTTTTATGTAGCTGTCACTGGTGGATAATTGTGAACAGGTGGAAGGAGAAGAGGAAAAGATTACAAGCACTGTGCTCCGTAGGTTGATGGTGAGATGTGATTTAGCTGAACAGTCCCCTTTTCACACTTCTCAGAGCATGAGAATAGGACATAGTTTCGTTCCTCTGAAGGAGGCAGAAGACCAGAAGAAAGCACTTTCATTTCTTCATCTTCTTGAAGGGAGCAACACACAGGCAGAAGTCCTTGCTGTGTTCCTTGAGCAAGCCAAAGAGCAACAGGTTAAAGCTGGCAGCCTGTTATCTTCGCGGTTTAGCTTTTAGAAATCCCCATAACGTAACGCACTTGAAATAGATGTCGTCATCAGCTCCTGCCCCAAGTACTAAGCCTGACCAAATACATGTGACAGAAGATGGTGGAGTAGAGTGCAGCAGCTATTCATGTGGTAGGAGTGGTTATTGTATTAGGGTATACTTTTTGTTGACAGGCCAGCATGTTTTGAGTTAAAATTCTGCAGCTGTCTCTCTCTCTCCCTCTCCCACTTTGTCTCTGTGGATTTGTACAAATTCCAAGCTCCTCTGCAACAGTCGCACCCTTCTTATTTTGTTCTGAATATATTTCACTGGTTTGTTTTTGTTTTGTTTTTTTCCCAGCAGGAAACGGACAGCAGAGGCGCAGATCCATTCAAGATCTTAGTGTTGCTGGAACAGAGTCCAGTCAGGTAATGTGCTTCTCATCACTTCTTTGTGTTTCAGTAAAGTCAGCACCAAATCCATACTGGGGAACTGGTCTGGAAATCTTCACCTTCGATGCTTTCGTAGAAATGATGTGGAAGCTTGGCAGACTGTAGCGTTGCTTGTATTGAATTTAAATGATTCCATGAGGGTAATCTATGAATGAGCTCTAGATGAGAAGCATTTTCTATATAGTTTATGCAGTATTTAGCATTTTTACATACACATGGTTTTTGTGTACCACTTAATTTGTTTGAGGGCAGATATTACTCAGGAAAGCCTTTTCTTCTCTCTATATGTAGAAGACAATTATAATTACTACTTACTATCTGAAGCAGTTACACATACATTAGACTAATTTTTTGCATGAAAACAAAAAGCATGTGCATCACTATTATAAATGTTATTTATTGTCAATCTCTGAATCCTGAATAGTAACTTACAGTAAAATTTCTCCATTTCTTGTGAAAGATTTACAGCAGGATGTTGTCACAAAGTTTTGTTTTAAAAAAAGACTATTTCAAAAAAATATTTTATAATAACATAGCTCCTTGTCTGGTATTCTAACTGCCATGGTAACAGAAACGGTGGTATGCTACATAACATGCTCTTAGTTTAATTTCAATTTTAAATGAGAGAAGTACAGCTAATTCTTCATTCAGATGTGTTTATTTTGTGTTTTTAATTGCTTCAATAATTCACAGGGCCTATTTGGTCCTTAGTGTGAATGGGCAATTTTGAGGTCCCTACTATTAATTGGATGTGGGATACTGAAGCTTAGCATATTCATCAGGTTAATCAGGTTTGCATACTAAACAACCGACTGCAATAATCTAAAATAGGTGGTAATTCTTGGGGTGTGTAGTTATCAGGGAGATGAACATTTGATCCTTATTTGGTGGAGTATTATAGCCACAGAAAACTCAGCAATCCTATAGGTATTAGTAGAACTTACTGTGCGTATCTATCAGAAAATAACAGATGAGTTTTAAATACATTTTACTATCTTCAGAGAAGACAGGTTTATTAGAAAGGAAAGAAATGAAAAGGAAAGAGTTTGCAAAATTGAGGAAAGAAATATATTAGCCTATTCAGTTACTTGTAGAACTAAAATTATGTAAGACTTGGGGGGGGGGAAATTAAGTGACAGTACATCAGTTACACCAAATTGTGCTGATTGTATGGATATATTTAATTATAGCTTTTTTTATTTAGAAGTTTTCATTCCGTTCATTTTAATGAATGGTTAGTATTTAAAAATATAGAATTTCAGTATTTGCTTCATATCTTAATAACTTATAACAGTCTTTCTTTGAAAGTTGTTCTGTTTTTTATGTTTACTTCACCAATTTTATACATGGGTCTGTAGAAGTACCAGAATCACATTTTACTTTCTTGCTTCTGATAGTGTACATATTGGAAATATGTGAAGAAGAATTGCCGTTATCTGCTTCTATCTTGCAGTTTTTGGAAACATTATGGTAAATCTGGAAAACATAATATTTTAACAGGCAGGAAAAATGCGCTTTCAAAGATATTTTTGTGCTGTCCATATAAACAAATAGTGAATTTTTATCCCCGTTTTGGTGTGAGAAGGGATTGAAAAATCCACTGAAGCTAATGCTAACTTTTGGCGTACGTAGGTTTGTATGTTAAAAAAAAGGAATGGAAAATGAAGGAAGTAATATGCCTAAAGACTTAAGATTATTCTCTATGTATTTCTATAGCTCTGGACCTCAGTGCCTTGAATTTTTATTAACAATCTTGAACTGCTATCAGTATAGCAATCTACTAATCAAAGCTGAAAAAACATCTGACTAGCGTGGCTCTGGTCAGTTCATCCTATCTTCCCACATGCACCCTACCATATATAGGGTATCCTTTCTAATGTGAAAATCGCCTTCCCCCGCCCTCCCTTCATTGCAGACATCCTTCTTCCCCGCGTTGCATTCTCCTTTGCACCCACCCTGCGGCACAGCCTTCTTCACCAAACAGCCATGGCACTGCGTGCCTCTAGTCCTGCACCCAGGCTGTGTATGTCCCTATCCCACTCAGAACTGAAGGATTGACACGGTGCCTCTTTTCTGGTTTTTAACTGTTTGAATGATACACTAAAGCTGGTCAGAAATCTTTTTATTGAACGTATTTTTCCTGAAAATTGGTGCTGTGTTAATAGCAAATGATTCTGTTATAACTACTGGGTTTTAATCAGGAAAGTTTTCTTAAGGTTTTTCTCTTAAGGTGAAGGAAAACACCAGGCTTGATAATAATAAATATACTGAACTTTGGGTGCTTACCTGAATGTGTAGACCAAGACTCTTGTCTTTCTTTTTAACTGCTTGTCTGTTTTAATTCAACCACCTTTTGTGTTTTATGATTTTATGGATATTTTATTTCTGTGTACTCTTATAAGAATTTTTTGTGTGGTTTGTATGGCTGCTGATTACTATATATATGTTGTTGAGACACTTAAGACACTTTCTGGTATTGCTTCTATTGGTGTTCTCAGTAGCAGATAGTAATAGAGCTTTGCAGATGGTTTTAATCAGCATCAACAGTTTAGGTAGGAAAATATCCTGTCAAAGGTTTTCTGTTATTGGATCAGCTGTTGGAGTGATTTGGTGTTGAGAATATATGTTTAAGTCTGAATTTGCACGAGTTTCTCTAGTACTTGGTGACCTTAGACTGGTTGTTATTCCAAGTGACAGGAGCGGCACTGACACAACTGTCTCTGTAAAGTCAAATGCTACCTTTTTGTTTCTTTCCATCCAAATATTGTGATGCTTTATTCATTTTTCCACATAAATTTTTTTTTGCACTGATTTGTTTTTTCCGCCTTTCTGTTTCCCTGTACATGCATTTTAAACCATTATATTGTGTCATCTGTCCAGCACTACTGCTCTTGCCTAAACACCTTTGTAACACAGAAACACGTGCAGACTCTGAACTGCACATTAATACTTTTGCAGCCATTCATACTTTTGGGGACTTGAAGGAACACAGCAAACTGGTATTTACACTGCATAGAGTCTTAACAGAACTTGAAGTTTTATACAGATACTGAGAAACACATCTGGCATAATCATGCAAGAACTGATCAGATACCTAGTAAGGTATCCATCTCCTTCCCTGTCTACTGTGTATTGATTTGGTTACTTTGATACATCATCTTTTACAGAATATCTATCTGATCGGAGTATCAAAACTACCTACTACCTTTTTTAAACATTGTTTTGTTTTGTTTTGGGGTTGTTGGTTTTTAGGGAGAGGAGGTGTCGTAGCAGTTGCCTTCATAATTCTTACAGTTTACTTTGAAGTGTAAAAAAATGTATTAAAGAAAACCATGTACTGTGTTGAACAGTTGAGAAGCAAGGTCAGAATGTAAATACCCACGTGCATGCAAGCTAAGTGGGATAATTTGGGGGATCTGATATTGTACAGATGACTCATTCTCTCTGTGAGATTGTGAAATTTGTCACAGATGCACATTCGTTTTTTTTCTCTCATGCTGAGATAAAATTCACAGATGAGGCAATGAGGAGACAGGGCTAATAATGATAATTTCTTTAAATTGTGTTGCCCACTTAAATTAAACTGGGGCATGGGATGTTATTCCTCAGAATATGTGAGCTTTTCCAGGCTGCAAGTCTTTAAGAAGTGGAAGCTAAAAGCTAGGAATGCCATGTGAGTTTGACTGCCTGGAAGAGAAGATTTGAGAATAACCTGCTAACAAGTCTTTTAAGCATACTGAGATACCTGGAGGAAGCAAGGATGAAAGGATACTGGTGAAGGGGTAGCAGAAACTGATTGCTAAAGAACAGGCACTGGTTTTCCAATCAGAGGGGCTGATGTCCAGGAGGCTTAAAGCATCTCACTCAACACGCACTCAAACACTGCAGTTTAACTGGTGTTCAGTTTCGGGAACTTCCCTTTGACTTAGTAGTACTTTTTAGATGTGCCTCCTGTAGGAATCCTTCATTTTTATCTCTAGTTATTTCATCTAAATAATGTTATCAAGGAAATTTTTTGTTGTTGTTGTTGATGGACCAAAACAAGTTGAGAAGTTACTGTAACTAGAGTAGTTCTCAAGTGCCCTTTGCTATCAACTGTAGATACTCAGAAAATCTCTTTTTGCTTAGAGGATTCGCATGCTGTTAAAAGTGATCTGTCTTCTGATCTTTCACATCAGCAGGGTATGTTTATCATTCATATCTGAGGATGCTGACAGTAAGCTCAGCAACTTAAATCTTGCTTAATATCAACTAAGACACCGACACAAAAGCTTTTTCAAAATGTCTGATGCCATCATCTTGAAATATCCATCAGATTATTTCTAGAGTAGTTTATTGCCCTGTGTCTGGCCATTAACTTAAAACACTAAATGCTTAATAAACATTACAAAAGAAACACTATGCAATCAAAATAATGGATCTTTTGGTGTGTAGAATCTTGTTACTCTGGATTGTTACTTGACTGAAATCCTGGCTTTTAAAACTTAAATTAAGGTAGGATATTTGGAAATCATAAAGAATCATAAAGAAATATGGTTTCCAGGAAATGTATATTTGAATGCTTCTTCTGAAAAATGGAGACATTTAATCATTTCATGATAAATACACCATCTTGAAAGTAGTTGTATTTTAGTTGCATCTTTTTACTTCGTTTTTTTCTGCAAAACTCATTGGGGCTTATAGTCTTAAGTCCTTTACTATGTTAATTTTATGTCAGTGAGGGGGTATGTGAAATACAAGCATACATATTGTAAATAATTATTCTGAAAAAGAAACTCAGTAGAATAGTGAAGTCTGTATTATGTTTTTGTGCTTCGGTAAACAAAAGGATTGGAGGAGTCAAATGGTATATAAAAGAACATCCTAGAGAATTTTGATTTAATTCTTATTTTGCTTCATGAGGGACAATGTACTCATTTTCTGATTGTTTTATTTCAATTGATTGATCCTTTTTGATTAAACACTTGTTTCGTATTTTGTTATGAATCACATAACCTCTGAGTTAACAAAAGAACCATAAGAAAACTGAAGATTAATACATTGCAGTCTAGTGCAGTTACTAAGCTATGTTCCTTTAGCCAAATGTAGTTTCATTCGCTGATTAAGCATCGGAAACAAACTATTTCTTCCTTATGTTATGGAGTTGCTAGATTTCACTGAATGGTGGTGTGAAAATTCCTAGACATGTTGTCATGCTTTTCTGTAAAGATCTTGAACACATTGTTCAGCATTGCATTTATTATGCTGAGTAGCAAAATTGTATCAATTTATTTTACGCAGTACAGATGGAGTACAAATGGGGATGAAATTATCCCTGCACTGCATGTAAAGTTGCTCAAACTGTCAGGACAGCTTTCAGGGTAACAGCCTGGGGAGGAGGGTATTTTGGAGGTTTGTAGGTTCAGATTTCTTTCATTTTTTTCTTTTTAATGAACTTTTCAAAAATCTTCTGTTAACTTGTCATTTTGTTTTGTTTTGTCATTTCAGGAGAGTAGAAACAGCAGTAGATCATCTAGTCCTAGTGTGAGAATGATCACTACCTCGGGACCAACCTCTGAAAAGCCAACTCGTAATCCATGGACACCTGATGATGCAGGTAATCCTTTGTTCCTTACTTAAATTTTTGCCTGTAAAAAACATAAAATATTTATTTGGTTGTGGTTACTTAGACAATAAGAGTAAGCAATGAAAGTCAAGGTCCATTTTAGTTCTGCTTAAATTAAATCATTACATTACTGACTTGTTTTTCATGTAGGCTTTGAGAACACTTTTTTATAGATTATATTGAGTTACATAAACTTGTTAGTATTTTGCTTGTAAGAAAGCACTGTACATATGCAGTGGTACTAATATTTAATGAAGATCTTGTTAGCACCAGTTTTTTACTATAGTGTGGTTTTGGAAAATTAGAGGAATAGACATCTTGTTACATTTTAGTCTTGTGCATTCATATTATGAATGTACATTTAAAACTTTTGTTGCTCTGACATCTGGAGTGAAATGCCGTGTAGGTGAGTATCAGGAATAGGTTAATTCTGTTTATCATCTCTGTTGTAATTTGCTTATGCAGATGTGTACATAAAATTACTGTTTTTAAATGAACTAACACGTGTCTACAGAAATGTTGTAAATACTTCTACTGTAGCATCACTGTTCTTTTGTTATGAAATAGGATTAAGAATGAACATAATTGAGTAGTTGAATTTGATTTTAAAAGTTATAATGCATTCCATAATGAAAAGAACCAGTACTGGACTGCATGAAAACAATGGATCCCACAAATTCCTTTTTAGAATATAAATGAAAATTACAATTTTGTTACCAAACTGTACATATTGAATCTTAAACTTAGACTCAAGCTGGTACTTCACAGTATGTCAAATTCTGAAATCTTTTTCTTGTGATCCGTTTCATCCGGCTGATCAGTCACTTTTATTCTTTTCCTCTAACCAAGTACAAAATGGAAACTCACATGTGGACTAACTCTTGCATAGGCATATGTATATATACATACATTTGTATGTATATATGCACACTTGTATTTCACCAAATATAAAGTGATTTTGTAAGACTTGTACTTTGGGGTTTTTCCCCCTGCTTTAGTGGGAGGAGGACATCATACCCTTGCATTTAGCTTCTGTGTTTTCTTCTTTCTGTCCATTGTTACTTTGCCTGATCACATTCTGTACCCTATCACTCATAATTTCCCAAAGCCCTTGCCCATTGCTACAGCCCACCCTGTGCCTTCTTGTGCAGCATGGATCCTGAGTTTCTTTGGGCAGTGAGCACTTATGGGAATTGCTGCCTCACATGAAAGCAAGGTCTTACCCAGTCAGTAGTTCATTGGGAACTGAAAGCTGCTAATCCTATGCCAGTGCAAGGACAGTTTGTGCCAAATCTTTGTTCTTAAATGCAGCACACACTAGAGCTAAAAGTCAGGTCTGTTTTCTGGCCCACAGAAATCCCTCACCTTATACTCAGGTAAATACAGAATGTGCCATATGTATATTTTCTTGTTAGGTTTATGCAGTCCATGAGCAAAGAATTGTTTGAGCTTCTAAAGAGAGAAATAATTTTGGTTTTCTTTAAAAGAGGGTACATTTTTAATTTAATGAGGCAAAATGATAAAACAAGGATATAGCTGAATCTGGTCAGTCACAGGAAAAGTTGCAGTTCTGTGACACTGTTGAAATGCTCAAAAATGTCATCTGAAGTATTTTGCATGTATTGATGTATTTGAAGCATTGCAGTGGTTTTAGCAGTATCCATTTACGGCAACAGTCTAATGTAGGGAAGGACTTTTTATATTGATCGCATTTAAGATACTGTAGTGATTAAGTCTCTGGTTTTAGGGTTGTTTTCTTTTCCTTTTTTTGTTTTTACCACCTTCCAGTTTCCTTACAAGCATACACTTAACCAGTTTTTCTCCATTCCCACCCTCTTATTTCTGTTTCCTTTTGAAGCTGCTCTTGGAGATAGCATAGTCTTTGAGGGCAACACCTTAGTTTCTCTACCACGACTACTCTGTGGCAGGTGCTTTTGGGGTATGGGTAAGCAGCCCCTTTTTTTTCCCACCTACCCTCCTCCATATAATCCTCTAGTAGCAATAATGCGGCTGTAAAATCAGTAGTTTCTCCATGTGTCTTCACTCTATGTCTCTTAAAGCTTAACAGTAACCTTGTGATCCCCAGATTGTGGGCTACTAAAAGATAGGATCTGTAAGAATTCAGAAACATGTGAAATCTGGAATGAAAGCACTAGAGAAATCTGGAGTAACTGCAGCATAAGAAGAGAGCAGCCCGGCCCAGGAGACAGGTTGGGTTCCATGCTACCCACAAAGTATCTCTGCAGAACAGAGAAGATGCCCTAGAGCATGTTGTGAGGAAGAAACTTAGAGACCTCACTGGGAGCAGGTTTCAAAACTGAGCAGGAGGTTGTGCTTATTTTATTCTGGCAGAGCTGATTTGCACAGCTTCTAATTTTAAAGTGATTAGATGCATGGGCTGGCTGGCTGATCCTTCATAAACAAGAATGAAATGGCAATTTTTTTATAAACAGAAATGATTGCAAACTGTACAAAAATAGTATTTTTAAAATCTGTATGCTGTTACATGGCTTCTAGAAATGTAGGTTCATAACCATAATCTTTATTTCTTCTTGGTATGGTAGACTAGACCATACTTTTGAATTTTTAACTGTCAGAAGAACAAAATTATTCATCTGCCTTGGGATTGAATTGCTGCTATTTCCATCTGCCTGTCCACATTCAGATTGTGTTTTGTGAAATTACTTAGAATTCTTGTTTTTGTCCTATAAGAATAGAATTATCTGTTGAAAATACATTAAAATTTTCTTGGTATTGTTACAGAGACCAATGGGTCAGATAACTCCATCCCAATGGCATATCTTACATTAGATCATCAGTTACAGGTAAAAAATAGACACTTTATGAGATTCTTAAGCTTGCATTTCATTCTAACGTGTGACTTTTGGGCTGCAAAATATAGTGCCACATATTTACCTGGGTTTATATTCTGTCTAATTTTTGACCAAGGCTAAAAAAAATATATTATGTAATCTGAGATTGGTTGACTCAGATTTGATCAAGCTATTAAAAACAAGCCCTGGGAAACATGATTCCTAAAACCAAATGTAAGCTGAGTTTGACTGTCAAAATAAGACATTATTTGCTTGAGTGTTACTGAATTAAATTGCTGTATACACTTTATTTGTTGTATATGGGATCAGACACTACTTTGATTTTTGTAACAGGTGTCAGATTAAAAACCGCAAATTTGAGGTTTGAGTCATCTTTGACATTGGTGCTGTAACGTTTTCCAGGGCATGGTTTAACACTTATTTTTAAAAGCTTACCAGTTTTTAAAAGATGTTATAAATACACTGCAGAGACATTCTAACACACTATTTACTAAGATATCAGTTCATTAGTCTTTAACATGTCTGATTTATTTTCAGCCTCTAGCACCATGCCCAAACTCCAAAGAATCTATGGCTGTGTTTGAACAGCACTGCAAAATGGCACAAGAATATATGAAAGTTCAGACAGAAATTGCATTGCTGTTGCAGAGGAAGTAAGTAAAATGTGGTTTACTTTTTCTGTTCTTCTGTGTGGTTTTTTTTTACACAAAGTCTGTTCTCTGTGACTGTTGTATCCGGCTTTATGAAGTAACATTTCATAGAGCATAATTATTTTCCAGCCTTAATCTCGGAGCTGCTCAGTACAGGTGAGATAGAGCAGATAATTGAAAGTTTTGATCAATGTCAAGACACTTCTTCCGGACAAGTCCTAGATAAGTGTGTGGCACATCTGTGTTTGTAACACAACAGTAATGTTTGTTTGTATCATATCAAATGAAAGATCTGGACTTCTAAAGAACCTTGGAATTTTATTTACAACGCTGTCCATTAACATGTTTTCAGTTGTAATTTGTAGATAATCACTTGGTTAATGGATTGTAGAATTTTGAGTAATATGTCAGTGTTACTCATTTTGCAGTTAGTTTTTATCTTTATCTGACTTTTGCCAAGCATTGCGTTTACAACAGTATTATCAACACACATCTTATGTTTTTCTGCCAGGGGTTCAAGACCTAATACTTTGACCTTTTTATGTACCTTCTCCTTGTGCACCAGAAATAAACTCTTTCCTCTTACATTATGTACATGTATAAGTGAAGCAACTGCATGTATTTTTGTATTAGGGTGAAAATTATTGCTGATTCAGAACTTGAGTTCACAATAAGTTCTGTTGTGCTCTACTTACCCTTTCTGTTTCATGATGCTGGGGAGCAGTTCTGAGAGGTCAGCTATACTCCCACGCTAGACCAAGTTATCAGCTTGTTACCCATCAGTGTCTGAGCCGCTGCAGGCAAGCGGTTGTTAACAAGGGGCTTGCCTTGGAGTTTATGGATTAGTTAATGAGAAAAATGTGTTGTGTAAACCGTTTGTACGTTAGAAGTAGCATACAGAATGGGGGGAAAATGTTATTGTAAGTTTGAACTCCTATCATGTATTCACCTTTGGTGAATGTATTCACCTGTTCCTGAGAACAATTTGATTTTTTCACATGCAACTAGAATTTTTAGACTTGATGAGGAGATACTGAAGCTAGAGTGAATATCTTAATTTTGATTTTATTTGTGTTATTTCTAAGGGTCAATAACTTATATAAAAATGTGTTTCTGTTTCAAAACTCTTAATTCTCTGCTTTTAGATTCCTACTAGGGTTTTTTGTGGTAATTTTGTATTGACATTTCTTCCAAACTGTTTTTTCTTAGTCAGAATGTAGTTGTCCATGGGTGTTAAAACAAAAAATAGTGTTGTGATGGATGAATTTAATGCTGGTTAAGGTAGTTATTAGTTCAGCCCTCAAAGAATTATTAAGTTTTCTTCAACTGTAATTACAAACCATATGGCAACAATTAATTAACATGAACTTTCTCCTTTACTATTTTGTTTGAAAAATATTGCTGGCAGCTTGCCTTCTTGTTGCCTTGTAAACAAGTAGTAAAACAAACTGCTACATCAGTTTTGCAGGATAAATTATAGCAAGTTTATCAGCGTGTTTGATCTTCTAAAATTACTGCTAAAAAACAGTGTACATTTATGGTGTAAATTATGTGAAATGCCAGTTACAAAAATATTTTCCTTGATTCTGCTTTTCCACTGCTTTCATAAGTTCAAGTACAAATAGAAAATAACACTTCACTAAAAAGTTATGAAAAATTACTGCAATTTTATATTTTAAATTGTCTTTAGATATTTAAAATGTGCATATATGCAAAATTAGAGTTGAATATATATATATATGAAATTTTATGTGGCTCCTTAGATGTTTTGCTGTGACCTTTAGAACTAGTCTGAAGGACAATTTTAGAGATTGAAGCTATGTCTTGCAGCTAGTTTAAAGTTCAAATGTGGACTTGATTTGGAAGAGAATTTTTCCCCGGACTACATTAAAGAATAAGACTTTTTTTGTGCAAAATATCACCAGCTATGAGTTCAGATTGATGATCAGTTACTGATTTGAAATATTTGAAATCGTCTACACACAAATAGAAATAGATTATAAATGACAATTACTTCTTTTTATTATTATTTTAGACAAGAACTAATAGCAGAACTGGACCAGGATGAAAAAGACCAGCAAAACACATCCCGTCTGGTACAAGAACATAAAAAGCTGTTAGATGAAAACAAAAGTCTCTCAACATACTATCAGCAATGCAAAAAACAATTAGAGGTAATCAGAAATCAGCAACAGAAACGGCCAGGCACATCATGATTTCCTGGGACCTTTCAAATGAAAAATATGCACAGAAAAGACTGATTATTTTTTTTTTAATTGTTATTATTATCCCTTATTATGACAGCTCATGAGTGTTAGCTTCTTGGTGTGATCTGTACTTGTCTGCTGCACTTAACATCATTTAATTTTCTTTTTCCTATGGTGGACATCCAGTTCAACAGGTTAATTGAATAAGGTGAGAAAACAATGACTTGAATTAACCAACAGCCCTCAATTTAAAGCAAGAAGAGTGGCTGCTTGCATGCTCCTTGTGTGAAGGCTAGCCTAACAAGTGTTAAGGAGGCTGCTAAATTTTAAGATCTTATTTTTAGTTTTTGGTGTTACCTCGATAAGAGCAAAAAAAAACCCAAAACTTTCCTGTTTAAGAATGATTTTGTTCCAGTGTCTCATCTCATACTATTATTATGATGATTGTTTTCAAGACTTAAACAGGCTCCAGGCTGCAGAGGTGATCTTGGCTGACCACAGTAATTCATGATGCATTAGTGATGCCTTTTACCTGTAGACATAGTGTATTTTTTCCACATGCAAAATGGTAGGCAAACTGATGCCAGCATCCTTGGTTCAGTGCTTGATAGCCCTGCATTTTGACTAATATGTTTCTTGTAATCTTGCTTTCATAAAATATTTGAAGTAAAAGACTGTATTTTGTTTACTTTCTTGGGGTGAATGACGTGCAGTTTCGCTTAATTACTGGGCAAAAGTTATGAAGGTGATTCACTGGGCAGAGTTGGTCCCTTGTGTAAAGAGGAAGAATCAAAAATGTGTGAAAGCATGTTTTAAACCTTTAAAGCTTTTGTCCCTGTAGCATCTTTGGATGGAAATTCAGAAAGAGAATTATTACAAAACTTGAAATACTTGCTCCTTTTATGTTTTTGCTCCCTTACTGATTTTTTTTGTTTGTTTTTCTTACAACTTATTTGCTGGAAAGCATTTACCATAAATGTAAATAAGTTTGTTTTAGATAGGGACAGAAAGGTTTGGGGAAATGAATTTATTTTAAATAGCAAATTATGAAATGGAGTTGAGTGTACAAATAGCGGAAGCTATTAAGAACATGAGGGAAATGGCTTAGATCTCCATCAGGAATCTCAGTTATTCTACTCATTTGAACATAGTTCAAAGGAAGTCCATTACAGAATGCCTGCTGCCTTTGTGACTGAAGAGTTGCATTTAACGAACTCAAGCAGAATATGTAATGCTCAGTGTTGTTATTCACCATTATTACATGGGAGAAAATAACTGCTTGTTTTACATTGCAGATTAATTACTTGGATTATGAATTAACTGGTACAAAAATGAGGCACTTCTAAATATAATGATAAGTTATTCCTTGCATAAGTTCTTGAGGTACCCAGTTGTGGGCAGGGCTTTAATAACACTCCTTTGCAAAAGAAAAGTAGAAAATTGAAGTTTAGCTGTGGAGCCCTCCAAGTAAAAGAAAGGTAATCTGAAATTTTACTTAGACTTATTTCAAATAAATGGTTATTTATAAGAGCCCATGAGCAGAACTTAGAAAAACCTTAAGGGTAAAAACTTCACAGTATTTTCTCTTTTCTTTCCTGCCTACTTCATAAAAACCATTAGTACTGTTGTGCTTATCTGTGAACAGCAAAGATGATGAACAGTGTACTAAACAGTGTCATCCTGTCTTGAAAATAAATCTGTTGTTGGCAAACCTTTGGAAGTTAGAAACCCTTCCCTCATTTTATTTAAATAAAGGAAGGGTTATCATTTCCAAAACCTTAGCAGATAATTTGATTAGTTAGCTGAAACTGATATTGGGATCAACTTAAGGGCACACATATTTATAGCAAAATGTAATTGGGAGAGAAAATAACTGTAGTATTAGGAATAGCACAAGTTATCCAGAGCATTGCTGTTCGCATACATCTGTCCATCTACCAAAATGGAGACACTCGATGATCAGTAGCTTACTTAACATATGCTGAAGCATTAAGTAGAACAGCATAAATACTGATGCTCAACTTCAGATGCGTGGTTGATAATTACCTACACAAAATCATTTACTACGACAGTTATTACATTTCAGTGTCATAAAACCGATACACTTAGGGTAAATCAGTTTTGTATGTGAAAAGTCACTTTATGGCAAGGTTTGAGTAATGGTACATAATACAAAAGTCTGTTCTAGCAGTTACTTATGACTTTTCAGGGTTTACATTATAAAGGGTCTCAGATTATAAAATAAGTGCTGTGCTACCGTGCACTGTTGGCTCCATTCAGTAGTTAGGTTATATTGCTCTTGTAATTTTTAGAGGGAATTTGGAGTTTGACCTTTTGCCTTCAAATTATCCCTTTCTTAATTCCACCAAAAACGAAAAAAATATTTGCCCGAATTTCTCACTGAAGATTTCCATGTGGCAAAATTTGTGTATCATAACAAAAAAACTTATAAGGGTAGAACACAGTGGTTTGGGCTAAGAAGAGTTTAACAGCTTAATTTTCAGTGACCTTTATTGTTTTCATAAGGCTCTTGTTTTAAAGTTGTTTACAAATGTACTTGTATTTTTCCCTTTAAAGTATCTGGACTGTTCAGGAACTTTTTTCATGTACTCTTCTGTCCAGTTAAAGCTGTTCCTCTAATAATAGAGGTGAAACATCTAGTTTTGGCTGGGCATTGCCTTCTCAGAAAAGGTAATAGGCTCTGCTTTTTGTTGCAGTATGTGTTCTGTAAGATATTTTGTAATGGAAAGTATGCTTCTGTACACTATGCAGTTCTTCCAAAATGCTTTTTTAGGCTTTTTGGTTTGTTATTTTTTCTGATGAGGAGTTGAAGATTGTAATTCAAAACTTGTACATAAAATGGTGAATGATTTCATATGATTCAGGAATGAGCAGTGTGGCTTTCTGCTACAGGGTTTTATTCCTTTGTCAGGAATTAATTAGTAAAAGCTGAGAGCCTTCCACAAATACGTAGTGATGCCGCAACACTTGCTGGGGCATCCGTACTCTCTGATGGAATCCCACACTGGGTGGAAGATGATCATTGTGCAGTTGTTCCCACTGCTGAAAAAAATTCTTCTGCTATGAGCTCGTCGCTTCCTGTGTGCAGAAGCAGGGTGTAGGATGAATAGTCCTACTCGTAAGTGAGTATCAAGATATTTTAAGAATGCCACATCTTCCTTATAAATGTTCTGCAAAGAGATACGGTCTCATCTTCCGTTCTTCTGTTCAGACAAATTTGATTCCCTGGAACTTCTTTATTTTGTTCATAATGGATTTTATGTGCCTCTCTCTGTGCCACAGAGAGAAACAATCCCCTTAGCTGTTTCACTGCCTGTGAAGAACACAGAATTGTTCTTCAGATCTGTTCTGAGGTGTTTTGAACAACTCAGCTGTTTAGGTGCCCTGCTTGTAACCTGCAGGGAAGGTTTGAAAGGGTAAGGGAAAAAAAAAAAGGTGTGGCATACTCAAGCCCTCAGAATACGGATATCCCTGGTGAACTGGTTGAAGAGGAGGATCTTATGAAAGTAAAACCTGTGTACATGTATATGCACACGTAAACACAGTTATGTACTTGCACATTCAAACCTACCTGAAAGGACATTGTATCCCGGTAAAGGCTGTCTTCTTCTCCCAGGCAGCATGAAAGGACATAGTCATAAGCTGCCCCGGGAGAGGTTTAGGTTGGACATGAGGAGGGATTTCTTCACAGAAGGGGTGATTAGTGATTGTAATGGGCTGCCCAGGGATGTGGTGGAATCACCATCCCTGGATGTGTTTGAGGAAAGAGTGGCTGTGGCACTTGGTGCCATGGTCTAGTTGATATGGTAGTGCTTGGTAATAGGTTGGACTTGATCTCAGAGGTCTTTTCCAAACTAATTGATTCTGTGATTCTATGTAGGTGTAGAGAGATACACATATTGAATCAGAATTAATAGTTTTCTTTTTCTTTCCGAAATCAGACCTTTCTGTAGTTAACTTTCGTTTACTTTAATAATGTCACTAAGTGGGTTATGCTCTACACCTGTGAAGATCAAGTTCTTCTGTAGAGGCAGATAAATACAGTTGTGTGTATCTGAGAGTGCATCAGTTATTTCCTATGCCCCTATAGCGGTTTTCTGCCTCTTGCAGGGACAGTTCAGATCTTCCACTGAACTTGGAGAGATTTGCTACAAATGTTTTGACTTTGAACCTACATCATGACTCTGGTCACAGAGAGGTACTTAATGAAAGAGCAAAACTGAATTTAGACCAAATAGTTTAAATTTTTAATTAGTTATAGAATACTGTCTTAAAATACTACCACTACTAATCCTAGGGCTTTAACTTAAACAAGCGTTCATGAAAAAATGGTTTTTATTCACAATTGTGTGCTTTACACTAAGTAGCTAAAAATCTGAGATACCCCAAGGGATACAACGGGCTTGTGTTTGCATAATTACACATGATTTGTTGATACCTGCCTTCTGACTTGGATAAAGGCAGCCCACCTACTCCTACACATGGAAACTCACCTTTTAAGGGTGAGTGAAGAGGAGCAGATCATAGAATCATTGAGGTTGGAAAAGATCTCCACAATCATGAGTCCAACCTTTGAATGAACACCACCCTGTCAACTAAACCATAGCACCAAGTGCCACGTCCAGTCATTTCTTGAATGCCTCCAGGCATAGGGATTCCACCACTACCCCGGGCAGCCCGTTCCAATGCTTAACCACCCTCTGAGTGAAGAAATTCCGCCTGAGATCATTGCATTATAAGAAGTTTAAAGCATATTCAGCTTTGTGTGAAGCAAGGGGTAGCAGGTGGAAGCACCCCCACTTCCTTTGTGTGAGACCACAGCTCCTGGCCAAGGCTGGGGGAGAGGCAGGGGATAATGCAGCCCCAGCTGTGTCTCCCCAGCAGTGTGCAGACTGCATGTGCGAGTTTTGGCTTCTCTTGGACCTGTTTCTGTCCTTAAGCAGTGAGTGGTCCCTGTATCAACATGAATCAGAGGGTTATGATTAGTGACACCTGGTCTAGTTGGGAGGCTGTCATTAGCCCTGTCTCCCAAGGGTTGATACTGTGTCCAGTTTTAACTTACTCATCAGTGACTTGGATGAACATTCACATGCCAACTGGTGGAAATATAAGGGTCTTCCCTTTTCCTGACCATGCTTTTCCAACCCACTGGTATTGAACAGGAGAGGCTATGAGACAACTGCACATAGGCTGCTCTCCTCTCATATTTAGGCAAAGGACTAAGGAGTGACTTGCATTCCTATAACCTGTGGTCTCAACATATGGGATGGGACAAAATCTTAGTTTATAGCAGAAAATTAGAAAAAAATCCTAGTTATAGGCAGATTGAAGATCATATGATCTTATATGATCTCTGCCTGGAGGGTGGTGAGACACTGGAGCAGATTGCCCGGAAGAGTTGTGCATGCCCCATCTCTAGGAGTGTTCAAGACCAAGTTGGATGGAGCTCTGAGTAACCTGCTCTTAGAACTAGATGATCTTTAAGGTCCCTTCCGACCTGAACCATTCTCTGTTGAGGTGGATATGCCTAAGAACTCTATTTAGGTCTGTTTCTCTCCTTTTTTCATGAAGAGTAGCAATGTGGACTTCACATGTTGGGGCATCTTTGAGTGATCTGCAAAGCCACCATCACTGTCCTCATAGCTCCTGCAGTGTGAAAAGGGGGGTGGCCAAAAATGTGCTTAAGAAAAGGAGAGCCCTTTATGCGGCTTTGCTGGTGTCTGTACAGTAGGTGTTTAAGACTTCTGAGACTCCTTTCCAAAACCAGGCAAAGTTAAGATGATTAGGCTGTAAGAGGGAATAAATCATCCTATCATCCAGGAATATCCATATTTGTGAAACCAGTGCTGTGGAAGTATTCCTGTGAGCATCTTTGTTCTCCAAGGTCCCAGAGGAGCCTGCCTGTGCCTGTCACTGGAGGACTCCTCAAGCAGATGTCTCCAAAAAGTTAAACCTGGTATGTGCAAATCAGATTCTTATTAAAGTTTCTTACATCATCGTTGTCATCATCATTAGCAATGTGGGTAGGGCATAGCCAGGAATTGTTCATGAGGTAGGAGGTGAAGCTAATTTAGCTTGTCCTCTGAGGGCTGCCTGGGGTCTGCTGGGCTGCCAAGCCCAAACTGCTTCTGTCAGTAAAGTGCTCAGATATGACCTCAGAGACGGTGCAAGGAGCCATTTTGGTCAGTGCAGCTGTGCTTTGACTCAGAGGACGCTGCTGTGGCTGAGTGTGAGCTGGGCTGATGGTGAGAGCTGGGCTGCTGCTTTCCATTAAGGACCTTTAATGGCCACTCTGGGTGTCCTTGAGTGCTGGCAGACACCAAAGCTGCAGTGAAGTGTGAGATTTAGGGTGATAATTTTATGCTCATCAAAAACCCTAGGTCCCAAGAGATTGCTGGGGAGGGATTTATTTGTTTTGGGGAAGAAAGAAAGCAAACAAAACAAAACGTGCATGAGGGTCGTATAGTGCACTGTATCCCACATCTCTGGATCCGGGGAACACACCAATAGATGTGGGACATCATACCAAAGGAACCATGTGGTGAAAAAAGTGGTGTGGTGAAGGCTTTCTTGCTTGCTTCCCTGAGTGCTCTGGGTTCTCAGACCTGAAAGGAAAAAGAGGAAAAAGCCTTACAAACACAACTGGGGAGCTGAATGTGGCCAGTTTATTGGTAATTTTGCATATTATGCCATGCCTCCCCAA